TATGTAAGGATGAAAAATCAATTGATAAAGTAGTGAGAATTCATCAGTTCAGTTGACTGCCCAATCACCGACTGCCCCGAAGTGCGATGTTTTATAGTGTAGGAGTAGGTTGGAAGAAAGCTAGAGGCGGCCAGATCAAAACATGGCACAAATCCATGAAGTCACTAACAAATGGACTGAGACATATTTGGGATCCGCGAAACGATAGCAACCGATGATTAGAAACCTTAAATGACATGGCTCAAAATGGCGTAGGTGCATCCACTCTTTGTGTTCTCCCAAATTCTAATCTTCTGAATTCCTCGTGTCACTTTCGTTTGTTTGTCTTTCCAAATTTATTTCACTGGATTATACTCCTTGAATAACATTCTTTAAGCCTGAATCTTCGCGATTATTGCTTATACTTTTACTACCTCTACCACTATGGGATTTGAATCAACAACTGTATCTCTGTGCTAATGTGATATGGCGACATGAACTGATGTATGTACGTACAAAGTTCTATGTTGTTACTTACTGAGTGAATAACTCCATTCTATCATTCTATTCTAGCATTTATTCTACAAGCTGAAAATCTTAAATTCCTTAATACGAAAATACATGAATTGATATATGTTATTTTTCTCATTAAAATTCTTAAAACACGGGGGGAATAGTTACTTAAAATATCTTACTTATTCATCATCAGTAAGTAATAGTCTTAAAATTAATACTAAAAAGACTTATACTTGTACACAGCAAAACGCAAGTAACATTTGACTGGATGAGAAGATAATTTATGGATGACTTACTTAAGTAACTTGGAGTATATCCATCTACATACATCGGAGAAAAGGATGGTTATAAATTAGTGTAGGGAAGTTGAATTATGATTATGGTTTTCATCATGAACTGGCATCAGTTACAATGCCAAAATGCTACTTGACCATATAGATGAATGGATTTCGCGCCAAAACTCAAGATCTACTATCTTAAATCTGATTGGTTCATTCATCAATTCTAGTCTCATTTATTACTCAGCTTATTGACTCAGCTATTTATGCCAAGTACGTGAATATTAAAATGATAACAAATCTAGTTAACAATTTTACTGTAATCAGATAGGGTTTTTGGATGGTATAGTAATTTAATAGTTGAATTCATGAGTCGATTGAAGCTAGACCACCATAAAAGGCCTGGAAGCACTGGATGACCGTGTCGTCCTATTATGGGACTCCTCAGTGACAGTGCGCATCCACGATCTCGCCCGCCGTGAGAGTCGAACCCATGACCTATCGATCTCGTGTGGGAATGCCTAACCACTAGACTACCGAACCTGCCGGTATCCAACGGTGTTAATGTCTGACTTCAACCAATTCACGGAGATACACCACCGTCCACCATTATCATCTCACAACTGTAGTCTAATCATTATGATCTTATGATTATATCACATTTCTCCAATTATAAAATTCCTTTCTTTTCAACTTGGAATGAATTTAAAAAATCTCTCTGGATTTCATAAAAACCAAAGAAAAAACAACATAAAAATTGACTTTTTTTATCAAAACTGGACAATTTAATTCAATTAGCTATCAGCAATAAGCAGAGTAAACATTATTATTACTCATCATTATTATGGTGGACGGTGGCGCAATTTCGTGGATTGGTTGAAATTAGACATTAACACCGTTTGATGCAGCCGAATCAATGGTCTAATGGTTAAGCGTTCGCACACGAGACTGACAGATCCTTGGTTCGAATCTCGCCGGGGGCGGGATCGTGGATCCTCACTTCCATTGAGGTGTCCCATACTGTGACGAAACGGCCATCCAGTGCTTCCATGTTTTCCATAGTGGTCTAGTTTCAATTGACTCATGATTTCAACTATTCTGATTGGATACATGACCCAATTTGTTGACATTTAATACGGATACATAAAAATATGTAAAAAAACAAACAATGTTTACCTTTTACGAACCTAATCAATATTCAAATTATTGATTATCTATGCATATGTATATGAGCAAGTGGAGGTTATTAATTTGATATGAATAGACTTTACACTTATGAAAATGATTTTTTTCACAAAAATATTTATCATACCGTTATTTTGATTATACATTGTAGTAATAATCAATAATTGAATGATTGGAGAATTGGATACTAAATCTTTCTATAAAAAAAGATAAAAGTACCACACTCTACTTTAGTTTAATTGATTGACTTGAGCACTTATAGTTTTGAAAACTTAATCGGACTATATTGGCTGAAGCATTTGTATCTTTAAAGTTTTACTATGTCAGATAGGTAGGTTGGAGGATGATTAAATCAGAAGACATAACTTAAGTGTTTCTTATGAATAGTCAGCATCTGAAGTGACGTTATATCTTCAACAAAGAAGGGACGTTTAGATGTTGAAACTAAAGTTAGCGTACCTCTGTTTATCGCATAAATTTCCGTCTGTAGCTAGTAAAGCTCTTAAAGTAACAAGATAACATGCCAAGAAACACTTCGTCAACTGATTTTGACCTTCTATCAAGAACTATGACGTACATAATTGTTATCGACGGTATATTTGTCTAGATATGTTAAATATTACATACTAGAAATCAATGTACATTCCTGGATTCAGAACATATCAATTAGATGTTAATAGTCATTCAAGAAATTATTAGTAGTATATAATGCTTACAGATTATAAATTAATAATGTGGAACATGAACTTTCTGTCTATCCTAGACTATCAGATATATATCAGTGTTAGCCAGAAATTCATATTGCACAGCCCAGTTACACTACCAAAATATAAGTATATAAGTATGCAGTCTTCCATATTTTTCAAGATTCAGTAAAGATATTCTTTTATGGACCCACAATATGAGTAAAGTTAATGCTTCTATATGAGATGACAAAATGATCAGAACTTACAACAGGAAACCATGGTACAAACTTGTTGTCATCTGTAAGAGTGGATTTGTCTGGTGTATCATAAACTCCATAAAAGTTTTTTTTTCACAAAAATAAACAGCTAGATCTGCATGTACTGTTAGATATTAGTGAAATAAACATTTTGAAATGAATTACAGGAGGTAAGTTTAATTTATGCAATGTGAATGTAAATCACATAATACATCAAAGGAATGATGAACACTTCACGTGCCTATTAACTAAACGGAGTAAAAACCAAAGCTGTGATATATCAGATAATACCCTAAGGAAAACTAAAGCCATGATGATGGCCTGCTAATTATTTGATGTTCATATGAAATTCGGAGATAGTTACTTTCTTATTCCGAACGGTACGTTAGGTCACCTAAGACTCATAATTGAGTATTATTATTTCACGTATATAAACATCACATCTATAGCTGTTTCCCAAGATAATTCAGTAGCTATTTTGGGTTAGTAAAATGTTTTGAGAATTCACTGGGTAACTGTGTCTACTTAAGACAATCGCATATGGTCACAGAATATAAATACTTAGAGTAGCTTATAAACGAGTGAGGACGTAACCAACCCGACCTAAATCCAAAGGAATCGTCGACATATAAAAAACGAACGAGTGTAGAGTACTTGTTTTCATTTTAAAGTTTTTGTGAATAGTAATAAATATATTTTTTCGTTATATTCTAATGAGTAGAAAAATTATATTTCTGAAGTTTCGTGATTTAATGTGAGCCACTTCTTCAGAACAAATATGTGGATGTCTTTTTCACCGGGATAATTTGTACAGAACTTGAAACCTTATTTATTCTATTCTCTGAAAATATTCATAAATTATACGATCGCCAAAACCTATAGATATAAGTACAAACCGTACATGATAGTCGAAAACTTTTGTTGGACTCATTGGATACATAATTAAAGTAGATGCATTCACTCTTTTTCTTTTCTTATATTCAGTTTTTAATTCTTTTCTTATATTCTGTGATTTCATTCTTTCTTCTCGAATCATATTATCTATTGTTAGTATCTTTTCTACTGCTAAATAATACTGTTCATACTTTTCACAATTGATTTATAATCGGGTGGTGACGAATGTCATATGTGTCTAGTCCTTCTTAGTGCAGATCGATTACTATTGACCAAATTACAATGTGGCCACTAGTCTAGATGACTCAACAGTGCGTACACTATTTTGAGATAAGATGGTGGTTGGAGGTAGTCATCAGGAAACCCTGGATCCGGGTTTCATGCTATTTGGCACTCGTCAGAAAGGTGTACCTGTAATCTTGAGGGAACTGGTGCTCCCTGACGGGTTTGATCCCGTGTCACCCATCTTTACAGTCAGAGACGTTACCACTGGGCTATCCGGGCCACGACCGACCTCCTACCGGACTGAGATGTATTCACAATTGATCACTGGTGGTGATCAATATCATGTGTGTAAAGTCCTTCTTAGTGAAGATCGAATGCTATCGACCAAGTTGCAATGTGGCCACTAGTCTAAATGACTCGAAATTGTTCATACTTTTACTACATAGGAATTTATTCTCAAATGATGGACACATGTGTACTTGATTCTGACTGACTAGAAAAAATAACTGAGTCAAAAAAAAAGAAATAAGTGTATTCACAAATGAAAAACATATGATATGGATAAAAATCATCAACACTAACCAATTACAAAATAGCGAACAATATAATTCTCTTAAAATGGATAAGTCTAAATCAAAACAAAACCAAAAAGAGGGACTGAAAAAAAAACGGGATAAATAAAATTATCCACACTTTTCTTTACAATAAACAGAATGAGTGAGGGTACTTTCTTCTACTTTTGTAATTGTTGTATAAATGTATATGGGAGAAAATGTTGTGATACTTATATGAATAGATCTCGTGGAATTGTACATAGGATAGGAAAATCTGAAAATGAATCACAAACACACCACGTTATATCATTTAAGATAAGTTTGGCTTGAATGGGTGGCAGCAATCGTAAACAGTTGTTGATCAGGAGACGTAACGCTAGAAAGATTTACTGTTTAAAAAAACCTTCGAGGAAAAATACCTTGGTGTTATAGTTTCTCAACTGATTTGTGAACGACTGGAAAGAAAAGAGAAAAATAAACATACATATTCCCAGATATGTTAAACAAACTGAAGGTATTCACAAGACGATAGGGTTTTTATAGTAACTAAATAAAAATCTTAATTACAAACGGATTGTGAAGTTGATGAACACAACGATTAGATGGTAAAACAAGGAGTGGATTAAAAGTTAAGTCAATTTGAAAAGAAAGTTGAATCTTGAGCTGAACCTCAGGCTATCGCATATACTCATATCAGCCGGTTAGGATCAACTTAAAGCTTGGGACCTAAGTTTTTATACCATGTTAGCACGAGACAAAATTAACAAGATGAGTGGTGAACCAATAGAAACAATTTAGTACCAATCATAATAAGAACGACCAAGCACTAACTAAGGTCAGGAATTAAATTTGAAATATTAGGGAGTTGGTCTCGAGGCAGTAAGTGTGATCAAAATAGAAGTCTGAAAGTCACATCATATAATTCTAGCTAGTACTTTACCGATGTCATAACAAAAGCGTATCCCATCTCATTCACTTTATTTCGTAAATCCGGATGTTATGATTGGTTTTTACAAACAAAAATGTCCCGTTGAAAGACAAATACATCGACCTAAACTTGGTAAAAAATAAATTGCATTTACATTATACGTGTGCTATTAAATGATTCGATGAATCTCACGAAACTTCGGAATGGACCAGCGCATGAAATCACGATGATGCCAACTTGAATGACCAAAGATGGATTCAAGTTGCAACAAAATAATCCAGTTAATTTCATAAAATCGACTTTAATTTGACCGTAGATAATTTATTATGGAGGTTAAAAAATCTGACAAATAAAGGTATAATGAAAATTTAGACTAGATTTTGCGCCAGCTGGTGGTCATATCTGTATAGTATAAGTTCCTTCCAAGTCTTGGCAGGTAGAGGGCATTACAAAACTTTTAAATTTAGGTTGCTCACCAAATGAGTCACAGTTCATTCAAATAATGGATCTTTATCCTTGATATGGAAAATTCTAAAATTTGAGTGAAAATAAATCATAACTTAAGAAAGGTTATTATCTTAGTAACATTAGGACCTTTGTGAAATAAAATGCCGACTTCAGAAAAATTAGTGTCATATCTATAAGTGATTGATTTAAACTGAACAAAAGCAATCAGATATAAATATAAATAGAGCAAGAACAAATATTGGTGCAGAATAGTATGAATTCATATTATTTCGAGGTTTCTCGTCAGCTGCTTACAAACCAAATTGTGATAGAATTTTTACATTGAGATATAGTGAAAACAATTGATGAGTGTAAATAACTGGGTTACAATAATAACTATATATATATATATATGCTAGAACAGGTCAGAGGTCAAAAGGAATTAATTCGGGTTGGGTGGTGTAATAATGGAATTGAATAATTATAAGATAGGTTACGTAATAATAATAAGATAGAATTTGAAAAGTTAAGATAATTTAAGAGGATCAGGTGGCGGAATTTTGTGAATGATAATGTGGTTTAATTCTTAAACCACATTATTTGTTCTTGCTTTATTTAAATTCATAAAGGGAACCAATTGCATGAGATATAAATATATTTCAATAACCGTATGCATAAGTTCTTATCGGTTATGACTCAGCCATTCACACATTCAGTGATAGTAACCGACTATTACTCTGAATAGAACAGGTATTGAGTTGCATTAAGGTTTGAGTCAATCATATAAAACTATAAAACTTTATAGATGAAAGGTGACTTAAATCCGTTACCCTCTGTAAGTAGGATATTTATATCGATCAGCTAGTTTCGGTTGAACAATGTTATGTAACATTTCAAATAGGTTACAACCCGGTTACTGAGTGTCACACTTAATAATAAGTATTAAGGCTGTATAACAAGACTTGAAACTAAAGAGAAAAAAAGGAATTAAACGTACCGTCTTCCATTAGGTTCCCAGCAATACCAGCTGTACTGTTTAACACTGAATCGATATCTTCCGAATGCTCAAGAACGAACGGTCGAATCAAGCGTCGATAAATAAGCAAGGATCCATTTTGTGAGATAGGAATCATGCAATAAATTAGGAAGGCACACTGCAAAGTGGAAAGAAATCAGGTTTGCGGGAGCTTTATTAGTAGTTACTGTTGTAAAAGAAGTTAACAAACATTTAGAAATTCAAAATCTTTACATTAGACTATATCACTCTCACTTATCATTAGGAATCTTCTCATAAATAGTGTACTAGAATTCCGAAACGGTTTGCTCCATATATATATTCACGTATCGATATACATAGTTGATAAATCTAACGACTATAATCTGTAAATCATGTTGATTTTTGAAAAAGTTAAGATTAGATGTGAATGAAATATAATTTCTATCAGGCTAATGTAGAGATGTAATAGTGAGACAGCCAGACACACGCCTGACTAGTAAGTGGGTCTGTAATCTGTTTTTGCTTGAAATTCGCGTGCATACTGTTTGTACCAGTTTTAGCTAATGAAATGGACTGTCAACTGGAAAGATATTCAAATGTTGAAGAACCACCAACATTTGCGCTTGTTTCCGTGAGTTAAACGAAAGAAAAGCTAAGTAACCCAAAATATTACTTTTATTATGGGATATAACGGTAGGTAGTAGACCATCATTGCTGTACAGGCTTCGAAAAGTTGAACAGAAGCAAAAACAACCCAGTAGGTTAGCCATTTCGTATCGTCTTCTTTCTCGTGAGTTTCTATGGCTTTAACTCTAGAAGTAAACATAATTTGCAACCGAATACTCACGATTGATATGCTGGGTACAAAGCACCAACAAGCAGAGTAAGTATATCCGTCCCATAACCAATGACTAAGTACAGCGTCAAAAACGCAATCACTCCTTTTTAATAACTAGGGATGTGGAACTTACCATATGCTAAATACAGTTTACTGATACCTGAACGTGTTTCACATACGCTTAGGAAATCAGTAACAACATTCTTCTTCTCCAAGTACTCAGAAAACCGTATCTGACAAGACCGTAACTTCTCCATCGCGCTATTGCAGAGTTAATGTACCGACAGTGTAACATAACTAAACTTCAAACTTTGTCAAACACTTCAATTTCAATATATTGACTGCGAATATAAAAACGGATATCTCTGAAATGAGTTTATATGTCTTTACTTCAAAAACGTTTCGGTGTACAAGGTACTGTCTCACTAGCCTCACTGATGTCTCAGTTAACCGCACATGATAACAAGCAACACCAGTTCAGCGGAGCCTATATATAAGTAGTGATTTTGAGATTTTGCATCATCTATAACAAGCAATTGATTCAATAGAAATATGATAAGAATCCCTAAAATTTACTCCAATTCTGTATTCATGAGTTATAGACCTTTGCTCTTTGCATAGATACTCCCTCAGCTTGAGACAAGGTTTTTTAAGTGATACGGTAAATGAATCATCTCGCTGCAAGACGAATGATTCGCTTATTCTCCAAACCGAAATCGGTAGATAGTCATCTATAGCTATCCCATGTCACTTAGGTTCGCAGGAGTCAAGGTTATGACTCGATATGCTGTGTAGGGCCAGTGAAATGTCACTGGGCCCTAATCAAATCATTCGTCAGTCGGGTCACTAGATATCTAACAGTTCATTGACCCTCTTCAAATTCGACGACAATCAAGGCGCATCAACTGATTGCACGCCATGGACTAGCTCATGCAGCGGTGGTCGTACTCTGTTCTCTGCAACTTGTATTTTTGTAATAATGTTGTTTGTGTTATACTGTCGTCAATGTGGCCATAGTACGTGTATACGACGAAAGGGTAATCCACATTGGGTGCTGAACGTAGAATGTGAATTTGGCGTCAGTCAGATGGTTACGCTATTCCCGTCTGACTCTATTAGGTCCCCAACCATTCGACACAGATCATCTGCGTTGGTGATCTACGGCTGTTTGTCACTCGCTAAAGTGTTTGATCACTTATTTGTGGTGATTCAAAAAGCCATTTTTCGTTATTAGGCGTTTACACGCGTCAGTATGGAAACCCTTGAGTAGTAACATCTGTTTTCTGCAGCGAAAAATCAGGGTACCTGCCTTGTTTTTATGTGTAAGTTCGGTGTTATACATAGTTATATTTCCAAAGGTTCCAGACCCGATCAAAATTTCTCACCTCTTCAGCCTGTCAGCCCTCTTGGGTGTTGACTGCCTGCCATCTCCACGGAATTGTCTTCTACTGTTCTTCCCGTTTGTTCCCAAATTCTTTTCATGTTTTCAATATCCACATCCATTTCTCCAGGCCACATGCTCTCTGATGTGGAACTTTTCCTATCACCTTGAGGATCCCGAGTTACAGATTGTCTCTTGATATAGATTGATAGTTTCCACAATGTATGCCATACCCAAATCAGCATGGACCTCTTCTAGGGCTATTGCTGGTCCCAAACCCGGATGAAGTAGGAGGTTTGGGCATGAGGTTAGCGACCCCATCCTGTAGAAAACTATCTCGCTAAAAAAACGCTAACCAGAAAAAATTATTTAAACTCTACCCTGGGAGCCAGAAGGTCTTCATTTAGAAGAGTTATGACGCCCCATGGTGAAAGCCGAGTTCCTTTGAAAGTCCCGAGACTGATGCCCATTCTGAAAACCAGAGCAACAGTTAGTTTAGGTAAGTGGAATGTCCGTGCAATGTGTAAGGCCGGGAGAGTCATCCAAGTTGCTACAGAAACGAAAAGACGCAATGTGGAGGTGCTTGGAATCAGTGAAACACATTGGACGAAGGTTGAACAACAAACTTATGTGCTCATAATAAACTAGCCACAGGCGGCACTATATTCCCACATAAACGCATACACAAAGCCACACGGACTTAACCGATCTTGCTATACAGAATCAAATCTACTATATCTGCATCAGTAAAAAGTTCGGAAGGATGATGGAGGACATTATAAACAAGAGAGGACCTGATATAACACCAGATCAACACTTGCTGGTCGCCAAGACGAAAGTGAAACTCAAAATGCACTAATCGACGGAGGGACAACATCGCAAAAGTTTAATACGGCCTTTCTTCTAGATACTGACAGATCCAAGAAAATAAAGATTTACTGGAAGGAAGGACACCTCATCAGGATACCAAAGAAAGGAGATCCTTTAATGGATTAAATTGCAAAATCGCGCATGGAAGATGGCTCACAGACTCATTTGAAGTAAAGACTGGCGTCAGGCAAGGTTGCTTGCTCCCACGTTTTCTCTTTCCCCAGGTGATCGACCGGATCATGAAGACATAAACATTTAGTGGGGAGCATGGGATACAGTGGACATCTGGGATGCGACTGGACGATCTAGACTTCGCAGCGTGATATGGTTTTCTGTCTCACACGCAACAACAAATGAAAAAGTAGACGACCTGTGTAGTAGCAGCCTCGGCAGCAGTAAGTCTCAATATACACAAAGGGAAAAGCAAGATTCTCCGATACAGCACAGCATGCACCAATCGTATCACACTTGACGGAGAGGATTTGGAAGATGTGAAAACCTTCACGTATCTGGGCAGCATCATTGATGAACACGGTGGATTTGATGCAGATGTTAGGGAGCGGATCGGCAAGGTGAGAGCAGCATACTCACAACTGAAGACCATCTGGAACTCAAAACAACTGTCTGTCAACCAACACCAAGGTCAGACTTTTCAATACAAATGTCACGACAGTTTCGCTGTATGGGACGAAAACCTGGAGAACTACGAAAGCCATCATCCAGAAGATACAAGTATTTACTTACAGTTGTCTATGCAAGATACTATCAGCAACGTCCTACTGTGGGAAAGAACAAACCCACTTCAAGGAGAGGAAGAAATCTGGAAGAAGCGTTTGAAGTGGATAGGATACATTGAAGAAAGCAATCAACTGCACTATAAGGTAAGCCCTCATTTGTAATCCTTAGATTCAAAGGAGAAGAGGAGGACCAAAGGACACAATACGCCGAGAAATGGAGACAGTCATTAGAATAATAAACAACAAGTGGATAGAACTAGAAAGGAAGGCCCAGAACAGAGTGGGTTGGAGAATGCTGTTCGGTGGGCTATGCTATATTGGGAGTAACAGGCGTAAGTAAGATGTCATGCCCACGCCCAAGACCTTCCTCTAATCTCCTCTCCAGCTGAAAACTGGTCTGTTCTCTACCACAGTAGGTTATTACTGAGGGTAACCGACCAACGTATATTGAGTATCTTGCGAACGTAAATGTGTATAAATACCCGTAAGTTTTCGATAACGTTCGCAGTGGTTCTACAAGTTACAAATCTATACAAAAGAACTGCTTTAATTATAAGCTTGAAAATCTTATCCTCGGAGTCGTGTTACACTTGTATCGAGTCCTAGATATTATTCATTTATTTGATTGTCGCTCTTCGTTCACTAGTTCCTACTTAAACATCCGTAGAAGTCCTCTTTGGATATCGATAGTGCTGCTTGGGTATATTACGGCTTCAGATTCTTCCAGATCATCTTCACCGAATGAAATGTGGTTGGATTTCACTGTACTGTATTTCAAGATCTGGCTTCCCTTGTGAACGTTGAAATATACTGCCACAAAGGCTATTCGTCACCCTGAGTGCCTTCATTTTAATTTGTTGCTGTGTATGGGAAAGAAGAAGTAGATCATCTGTAAAATCCAAATCGTCCAACTAGATGCAATGTGTCCGCTGTATTTCTTGCTTATTCAGAGATGTAGAGGCCATCATGATTTAGCCCAGAACCAGTAAAGTATACAGTCTCGTCTGACAATAACCGTCATTCTGAATGACTTTGTTAATTGCTCTACATGAACGAATTTAAAATGTCAGAATTTCATATGGTAGTGAAGACTTTCTCAGGTACTCTCTAATGCCTTGGAAGAATTCTATTCACTTTGTCGACTGCTTCTCGTAGCCGAGGAAGTTAGCACAGAGACGAGTGCTGTCCAGCAGATTTGATAGGTTCATGGTGGATCCTGACGAAAGTCATCTTGTTGGCTTCAAGGTCGGTCGTCTTCTAAACCTTTCATTCAATTCAAGAACACTCTGTTGAACACTGTTCGGTACTGAATGTAGTGTGATATCTTTGTAGTTCTCGCATTTACCAAAACCTGTCATCGGCATCTTGATTATTCTCTTGGTACTAGTTCTTCCTGTCAAATCGTTCTGAAGAGAACTTGAAGTATCTGCTGAGTTACTTCTGCTCTGCTTCAGTGCTTCAGTTGTTGCGTTGTCTGGTCATACTGATTTGTCACATTCATTTGTTTGGTGACATGTCCGACTCAGTCGATAGCTGGTTTGTCGATATTTATATAAGCGTCTGTGTATTCTGTTTCGATGTACTATGGATTCAGTGGAGCTAGTTTATTCAGGAGCCCTTTGAAGTATCCTACTGTATATTCCTCTGCCCTAAGATCTCAGTGATGGCTTTGCCCTACCTGTTACTGACTGACAACTTTGGTTAACCAAATTTTCCAGCGAGCTTCCGCGTTGTGTCGTGTAGCTACCTTGTATTTCCTATTTCAGCCTTTTTCGCCGTCATTCCCAAGTCTTCCATGTATTTCCACTTATCATCTCTAATACTCCTTTTCACTCGCTTGGATATTTATGTGCATTCGATGTGTCCCTTGACTTTCTCTACATTTATTCGGCTATTGTTGATTGCCGTCTTCCTGTTCGCTCGTTATTGAGTCTTACCCTAGGCATCTATAGATATCCACTATTAATGCTGGTGCTTCTTGTGTCTCAACACCTCCTGACATCTGATGTCTGCTTCTCCAATTCATTTTATGGTTGTTCTTCATAACGGTCTTCTCTTCTTTAGGTGGATCTTGAAGGGTTGGGACTGGTTGCTCACAGCAGTCTTAAACTCACTGTTCTTGTTAGCATCTTGAATGTATGTCTCATGTCAGAAACCGGTTCGGGAGTAATATTCATGAAAATTAATAAATATGACCAGTCTAAGTGAAAATTTATGCAAGTTCTGAAGTATCGTAAACATGATAAATCATCTGGTGAAATAGTGAAAC